GGTCACTGGTGGCTACAGACCACTACCATCGGGACAGCTTCTTGACTGACATGGCCAGAAAATTCCTAACTGCCCTCCACATGCTGGGTGCTCCAGTTAGCTAAATCCCCGGGAGGGGAAACCACAACAGTTAAGCTTTATTCAATGTAGGTTTTAATCTTGAAGTTCGGGAATTGGGGAGAATTAGTCATTTATTTTCGAGCTCATGGAAAGAAGGGGTTGATAGCAACAGCTTACCCCAGTTAGCAGGCAGGCTCCCCACACAGCTGTGCTGGCCTATTTCAATTAGGATCCTTTAGGACTGACATCACCTCTGGTATGCCAGTCCTAAGCCGCTCATGAGCCAGTACTGCCAATCAAGCCAAAATTCAACCGCATGGCATGGTTTTTATGATGGACACAGAAAATGACATGAACTTGTCTCATTCTGGTGAAAACACAAAGTTGGAAGCCAGCTCTCTAGAAGAAGAAAATTAGTAAAAACAGCAAGCCTGAAAAACTTGATTTAGACACATTTTCCTGTGATTATCTCAACGCACTTAACTGGTAGGTTATTCATGATGATTCAAGGAATGCTCTCTCTCAAGAAAAGACGAGGGCGCTCATGCTAGGCGAGGTCACTTCTGGGTCACTCTACTCATGGGACTACAAGAAACAGGAGAATATGCAGAATGAGGGAAGGGTACAATGAAACCACGAGACGTGAGAAACTTAAATAATTAGACCTAGAACCTGAACTAGACATATTAAAAGCAGAGCTGTCACTTGACCAGAGAAACTGGACTATACACATGAAAGAAACGCCACGTGTGTGGAGAATTAGCGAGCCCGGTAGTAGCTTCTGTGAGTCCTTTCCTCCCTGAAGTTAGTTCACAAAGAGCCCTGAAGTCTGTGTGTAAAAGGCACTCTATTAGGTGCTGTACAAAATGCAGACATTCAGAGGACACTATATTTTCCTGAAAGAGTCTAAAATTATATTTTGATCGAACTATAATAAAGGGGAGAACCAAATGACCAGACCGTGTCTCCTCCAAACAATTCCTGTGCAAAATGCAACAACACAAATGGGGTTTTTTGTTTTTTTGTTTTGTTTTATTTTAAATGAGTAACAGGTACAGTGGTTAACCACACTTTACTGATTAAACCAAACAAACGCTGACCTTAATTTTGTTATTATTTGAATTTTCTGCGGCATCTGAGTTTGAGGACTAGCTTATGCCTGGATGTGCTAGAGGACCACTTTCCACCTTATTCATACACATTAGTAAAGCAGAATCAATATGTGTTAGCACTCCTATAAATGCACAAACAAATATGTGCACGAGTTCATTTTCTCTCTTTTTCTCCAAAGTTTTTAATATCCATGTGGTCTTTCAAGGAAAACTTCCCTGGTGTAACAAAATTCTTTTGTAGTTCACTAGTGACCACTATTGGACATACTTCCCTCCATTTATATGAAGCGATAACACTGGTTCATATAAAAATAAGAAGGGGGCCAAAAAGTGGTCCTGAACAGACCAAAACACTACAAACAGGAGTTCGGGGAAGGAAAACTGTAGCTGACCATGTCTAGACAAGAATTCACGAAAACATGAAGAAAATAATGTATAAATAAATGCCTCGCTATGTTCTGTAGATTCGGGTGAAAAATCCTTCAGCTTGATTTAAAGACAATCTAGGCAGGAGAATAAGAAATAGATGTAGAGTGAACAGTTATAGAAAGGGACACACGTGCACACACACCACACTCATTGCAGCAGCCCACAATCTGCTGTAAATAAGGGATTTAACATTCATTCCACAAGCTAATGGTGCTTTTCGCCATCCAAGATAGATCCACTTAGATAATAGTGGAGGACAGTGCCAGAGCGACCGAAGGGAATGGGCTATTGTGTTTGACTAGTTTCCATGTATAAATTAGTGCAGAAGAGAAAAAGAAATTCAACAGAAAAACACATGTACTTTATTATAATTCTGAGTGTTACTCTTGCAACTCCCACAATAGCAGGCAAAAAAGCTTAAAACCACTTAAAAGAAACAAAAAGCAAATGCAAATTTGATTAAATGCCTTTCTGACAAGAAGTGATTTGACTTCAAGTTTGGATGGACACATATGTCAATGGCCGGTCATGGTTTTTGCCACATTCCTTTTGAGCTACACAGTTGGGACAAAGGAGGGAGAATGAAAGAGGAGAACAGGGTGGGAAGAGTGGGGAAGGTGGGTGATGTGACTTCATCTGACCCGAATATCAGGATGAAATCTCTTGATCGGAATACTATCCCGTTGTGTGTCGAGAATACAAAAGAAGTCTATGATATATGAGCTTTGCAGGAAAATATGATACAAAAGACACGGGGACCTCATTCTTTCAGGAAGCATGCTCCAAGGGGAAAGGATTTCACAAAACTGAGGGTGAACAATATTTGATATTTGCACACCCTCAAGAGCCAGCCATAATACAGATGATGCGGCTGTCGGTGATAATGAACACTGTTTTGGAGTAGAAACCGGACTCACCACTAAACAAACAGGATGTTTTCCAATTAAGTTAAAGGGATCTTCAAAAGTTACATAAATTAATTCTAAGAGTAGATAGACTCTTCTAATGTTTAAAATGGTTATGGGAAAAACAAGCCAACTAGTTCAATTTCTCCATCCAGACCAAAGGTCGAGCTGACACCATCACACTTCTAGGTCTAAGTCAACTGCTGATGAGGCTCCAGGTCACTTTCTTTTAGGCCCATCATTTAATTTTGGTTATGGAGCCAAAGGGGGCAGTGCATGAGCCTATGTAACAAATGCCCATAACATTGGACGTCACTTTAGTGGTCAAGATGAGGCAAAACCCTAAATGTCTCCAACAAAGCCTGGGGACCAACTTACATCATTGCTTCCATCACTGCTAAACATTTTACAACCATAGTACAAAGCAACCCAGTTATTTTCTCTCCATTATTTTACCTTTGCTTTCAAATATAAACTTGTTTCCCTATCTGCGAAATAGGTTTAAAAATGCCTGTTTGCAAGATGATTGTGCAGGTTCCTTGTAATGCTTTTCAAACAACTGGTCTGGTGTTTGGCACATTCAGACCCACAATCTGTGGAAGGTATTACCAATGCAGTTATTACTCCGCACAGGGATATCTCTTGGCGTTCACCAGTTAGTTCTTGTGATTCTCAGAATCCCAATTTGTCTAAATACAGACCTAACCAAACCTGGGTTTGATTTCATTTTATCCTCAGAATACAATTATTGTGATTTAAACAAAGTATGTTGTGTGTTTTACATCTGATATAAACAAACATTTCTTTTTTTTCCACATAAGTCTAATTACATGCTCAAATACAGATACGAACATTCAAGATATCAAAGAGGGATATAATGCAGTTACCAAATGGGTAGCACAACGGTCTATCCGTGAACGGGACAGTTTTGCCAAAATATAATGAGATCATGTTTCCATATGAAGATACCAAAAAAGCAATGTGTACTGGTAATTGGCTTTATGATGCAATTAAATGGGGGAAATAACACACACTTTTTAAAAAAATCACAAAGAAGGAAAGATGAGGCAAACTAATGGTGTGTATATAAGTAACACGTCCCATATGGAAAAAATGAGACACCTTTCATAAATTGCTTGCTCCCCTGGTCATAAAGCACACCTAAACATTCTGCTTTTCATATTCCTCCCAACAGCTAAAACTTAGTCTATTCCTGCTTAAAATTCAGTTTGCCTTTAAGTGTCTTTGAAAATCTGAAAATATACTTCTATATTTATAGCATTTGCAGTGCAGCATTATAATTTCTTGGCTACAATGATGCAAATAAGAAGTGGGAATGTATAAAATATTTAAAAACTGTCTGATTACTCTATCTGATGAATCTTTGTGGAGTTCTTCAATTTGTACCAAATGGCTTGCTTCCTTTCTTCAAAATTATAGCGCAGATCAAATTTGTCAGAGTCTAATCAGAACAAAACATCCCTTTAGCATCAACGAATCAGTGCAAACTATACGTTCGTTACGTTTTTACATTGCTCCCTTCTTGCCTTATTACCTTCTGAGCGAGGGTTGGCATGCCATAAATGTGACAAGGAGAGCTACAATCACGCTTGTTTGGAATCGGTGTGTGCAAATTTTGGAATCGAACCTTCAGATGAGGTTTATGAAGCTGCCTGCCCAGAACACTCTGGTTTAAAAAAATGTGCATTGCTATTAATATTTTGAGTGTAGATTTTTTTTGGACAGTCCATGTTCATTTTCTGCCCATAAAACCAAGTATGAGTCACAACGGAACATTTACTTTGAGTCAAAAATGCAGTGTGTGCTGATGTCCTAGAGCAGAGCATCTTATCACTGCGACTATGGAAAGCAGCCGCGCAAAAAAGGCAGCCTTTTCTTCTTCTTTCAAAGCAGATCTGAGATCAAAGACCCTAATCCTTGATTCATAAATACTAGCATTAACTTGTATCCATAGAGGACTTACAGTAATTACGAGCTGTAATCTGGGTTGGCTGCAAACAGGCTCTCCTTCCCTCTTTTACCTGGTCCCCTAGCACGTGTGCAGAGAGGGAGAGGATTCATAAAAGGCAGTGGGGGAAAGCCCCTTACAGCCCATCCTTCAAAAATTCCAGGAACACCCCAGTGAGTGAGTTTAATTTCAGGACGTCTGTTACCCAAATTCCAAGCATACACACCACCATTTACCCGGTCCGCAGCTCACGGAACTCTCTGCAGTATACCCTAAAGCTCGAGTCTCGATATTATTATATACCTCTCACTCTCCCACAAAGTCGATCGGACTTTATTTTGCTTGGGAAGCTGGGGTTAAAGTTCTGAAAGAAGTTTTTCCTTTTTTTTTTTTTAAATCGTGTAAATTATATTACCTGGTGTTTGAAGATCAAGATACACACACACACACACACACAGACATACTACCACAACAGCACCCGGACTAAGTGGCAAGAGCAACGTATTGAAATGAAAAGGCATTTACCAGGAGCAGGAAAGCCAGAAAGAGGAGCGGTGTGCCAGGAGTTGCCCGACGACGGCAGCATTCCATGCTTGGATCCTTGCCGGAATCCCGATCGGACACTGAATAAGCGGCTAAGTGCCCTTCTGCCTGCTGTCACATCCAGTACCGGTGCTAACACTCCAGCCCTGCCTATCAGCTTCCATCAGCCCCGCTCACATTTCCTGACCGAGGGTGGGTGGGTGGGTGGATGGGTGGGGGGTAAGCTGAATGGAATCTCTTTCGGAGCAGGCAGCCAGCCAATCAGGCTCCTGCTAATCAGACATGCTGAATAACAAAGCCGGGGGACAGAGAAAGTGTAACAGTGTGAGCAAAAGAGGGTGAACGGGACGGAAAAGAAAGGAGAGCAGAGCGCGCCGGCTGCAGCGAGAGGAGGAATGCACAAGATGCCCAACTGCCAAAGATGAAGCAAAGCCCTCTCCTTTTAACTAACCTGGTTGGTTCTTTGTGGGATACCTTTCTGTTGGCCATTTGCTTGTGCGGTGCCTGTTGCTTTGTAAAGTACAGTAGCTCCCTGTGACTCTGTATTGTTCCATTCAGGAGAGAAACTTAATCCCTGTCAATATATAACATACGCCATAAAGGGAAAGAACCACAGACAAAAACTGACTTAATGTGCCCTTTAAACGTGTTCTGTACAACCGCTTTATTCCTTTTCCGTCAAGTTCCTCTATTTTCTCCCTTGACTTGGAAAAGGGAGGCTCTATGAGTTTTTGGAAGTTCCTTACTAAACCTAAATGGTGACATAAGTTAACTTCGGTAACTGACTTGATCTGTGGGGGGTGGCGCGGGGGAGTAAGTTGCTTCTTTGTAAAGTGACAATTTAAAATATCTAAGGTTTACTACAGTAAAGGTACAATTAGAAATTTAGATCCCTCTGGTTTAAAAAAAAAAAAAAGCCCTTTAACAAAGACTGGGATAAGTGGGGCTGAAATTTGGGGTTGAGGAAACGCCTGGTTTTGACAAACTGCCAACTCTCAACTATCTGCTTTGGCAGCAGGAGGGAAAGAAAGGATGAATTAAATCCTCAGTTAATCCCCAAACCTTTTAACCAACCGTCTCAGCCTCCTCCTTATCCAAGTCCTTTATCAAAGCAGCTACAACGCAGCAGCAGAAAGGGCTGAAGTGAGTCTGCCTCCTCTTCCCTTCTACTGTTGCAAGAGGCTTGGACGGGAGAGGCTCAGGAGGAAGTAAGTGCTAATGAGCAATGAAATGAGGACAAGGCCAGGAACAGGAAAGAGAAGGTCAGAAAGCTTCTATGTCTGGCTAATCCACCAGCAATCAAGATTTGACTCTACCAGAGGAGGATTTTATTACAGCTTTAGGAAAGTGTCAAGTGTCAAACAGGGACGTCTTTCCCCTTATCTGCTAAAAAAATCATTGAGTGTTTGAAAGAATGAAATAGCAAACTTGACCTTCCATTTCCATAGCTGTGTCGCCAGGAAGTTTTTCCTTTGTAGATTTCCCGATAGCCCAGAAGTACACATGGTGGAGGTAGAAGACGTTCCTCTCATTAATAAGAAATGCCGACAACAGTCGGGAAACACACACAACTATGGAAAACCTGATCAAGCCATAATGGGCATGTGAACACAGGCAGGTCTGCCCATATACATACTGGCAGCACTGCTTCTCAGAAAGGTGAAGAAAAGCAGCTTGTTCAACGTCAGGTTACTTACTTCACATGGCCTATCAATTAAAGACAGAAGAGCTTTAAAATTCCCATTTTCAACCTGTTAGAAAAGTCAGAAGCATGGGAGGATCCACTTTGCCCTCAACCTTAAGTCAGGCCCTCAACCTTCCGTTCAATTCCCGGAGGACGCCCGCCACAATGTCTCCTGCCTCTGGTCCCAGTGCTCCTAGCGTCTCCTTTCCTGTTGGGGATGCCCAGGGAAACTAGGAAAAGCAATTGTATGGTCAAACAGTACACAGTGCAGGGCAAACTCCAAGCTCACTGTAATTTTAGAAATGGGAGAACAAAATCAAGTTGGGGGAGGGTGATTGGGGTAAGTTTTGGGGATGAGCTAATTTCAATAATTACCGAAGTTTATGTCATCTCTGACGGCTGCAAATGGTTTTACACCCACAATCTCATTTGACCTTTATGACTATTCTTGTGAAGTCAGTTAAATACTCATCCAATTTTATATATGTGGAAGCTGAAGCTCAGAGGGCTTAATTGACTTGCCTTGGGCCCCACTGGCTAGAACCTGGCCTTTGAATAGGGTCTTCTGACCCTGAATCACTCTTCTCTCGTATACACATATCTACATATGTGTATGCATATATCTGCATATATCTCTGTGTATGTGCATACACCTACACACCCACACGCACACTTTCAGATGCGGGCGATGCTGTCATACAGGTGGGATGGCGATGTCTACAGTGAAGGTAAAGGGGCAGAAGGCAGGCTACTCAGGTTTTATTCTGGGTCTATGTTACCTGACAATGAAACGTATCTTATTTTAACCTACAGTTTCTCTGTCTCCCACCTTTGTCATTTCTTTTTTTTTTTTTTTTTAAGATTTTATTTACTTATTTGACAGAGAGAGACACAGTTAGAGAGGGAGGACAAGCAGGGGGAGCGGGAGAAGCAGGCTTCCCGGGGAGCAGGGAGCCTGATGCGGGGCTCGATCCCAGGACCCGGGGATCATGACCTGAGCCGAAGGCAGACACTTAACGACTGAGCCACCCAGGCACCCCCCACCTTTGTCATTTCTAAGACTTTTTCTAGTGCCAAGGAAAAATAACATAAAACCCGAGGTCATCTAGATCCTTACCCACGGCGGCCCTGGGGAATGCCTCTTACAGCATGGGAGCAGGGCGTTGGCCGAGCTCCTTCTCCCTCTTCAGGTATCTACATTAAAGCCGCCTGCCAGGGTCTGAGTAGCGGGAGTCACCACAGCTGCCATAATACTGGTTACTGGCTCCCTGTGCAATAGATTAGGTGACATGAAAGCAGAAGCAAGAGACAGAGTGTCAGGGCTGTCTGAAGCATCATTCCAAATGGTATGGATTTAACAATACTTAATTTAAAAAACACCAGCTTGGACAGGAGCAAGCTGTTAACATTCAGTGTACTTTATGGCAGGAAAGAGTGAGCTAAACTCTCAGAATTTCTCTCCCTGGGGAGAATGCATTACAGCATTCACGCCAGAGCCACCTGTCTCTTCCTGAGGTTGGGCCTCCTCGCTTGGCCCTCCAGTGGCAGTCCCTGGAGTGGAGAGGGCAGAGAGCCTTCTGGAAAGAATGCAGGGGTGGGAGTCCTTGACGAGCTGAGCAGGACCTTATCTCCCCTCTTGCAGGAGGTGGTAATGACAGTGCCTGAACCTTACTATCCTCATAGGCATGCGTGGAAGTTGTTTAATTTCCCTGGCTAATTCTGAAAATTAAGAAGAGGAAAACATGGTGTGGGGATGCATAAGGTAAAACTACAGGAAGCCCACTGCTACTCTCAGGGGCAGAGCTGGAATTGGATCTCTCCAGTTCACCTAATATCCATTTAACACCAAAGCGATTGGAACGTTCGTTACAGCTCCCAAATCATCTTTCACGCAGGACCTCATGTAACATGAGCAGAAATTCTGTAAGGTGGCGAGTGGTTATTATCCTCAATTTATAGTTAGCAAAACTGGTGCTCTTATATGGTAAGTGGATTCATCAACATTACTTATCAGCAGGTGGGAATATGGAACTATATCTAAGGTCTTCCACCTGGACAATCCCCCAGAGACGTTGACTGATGAAAATAGCTGCATTTACTGAGAGTCTCCCGTGTGCCAGGTACTGTACTAAGTACTTTATTATTTCATATAATCCTCACAACAACCCGATGGGGGAGGTACTTTTATTATCTTCAAATGGATATGATTTATGGTTGATTAGCAGTCAGCATTTGTCCCAGCTAGTACCTTCTTGAGATGCAGAAGCCAGAAACCTAGAAACTACATTTCCCAGGCTCCCTTGAAGCTAGGGTACCAGATGTATTTTAGATTTGGCTGCCCAGGAGTGCGCCCATAAGATTTAAAAGAAGAAATGAGGCAGAGACCATGCTTTGCTTTCTCTGCTTGTTAAAATAGCCTAGAGCAATGCAGTTTACCTGCAACCATCCCAACTTGTCACTACCTTTGTGGGTGACTAGAGGCAAGTTTCCATGCAGTATATCAGCTGGATCAGGGAGGGTGGGCAGCCATGTTGCAGACCTTGCATTTCCAGTCAGCTGGTGATTTACTGGTTATTGAAGAGGCAGAGCTCCTGTGGTGATCTTTTACTGCAGAGTAGCATGGGAGTCTTCAGAAAGCTCCAACTAGAGTCTTTTTTTGTTGTCAATTCCAACTTCTAGTGAGTTAGTTAATTCCGTTATAATATAGCACTTTCTACTTCAATTAGCAGGAGGAAATTCAATTCTATGAAACAGAATCCTTGACTGATATATCCCCTTTACCAGAGGAGAAAACTGAGGCATGGAGAAGTCAATAATTTTCCAAGATCACATATCCACGAGGCGGAAGGGCCAGGATCTCAGGGGCCATCGGTGTTCTGAATCACTAAGCTACACCTTTGTAGAGCAGAGGGCTGTGGGAGTTCAGAGAAGGGAGAGATCATTGCTAGTTTGAGGACTCAGTGAGGAGGACCAGAATGGAAGAAGCAGAAATTGAAAAACACCTTGAGATATACAGAGACTTTTAAGAGATGCTAAGGAAGGGGGAAAAGTTTGCAGGTGAGGAGGACAGGGTAAGCAGAGAGAAAGCATGAACATGTAAGGCCAAGGCTTTTACTCACCCTGACCCACTATTTTAGGCTGCTTAAAAAGGAAGAAAAAAGTTTTTTAATTCTTTGTCTCACAATCTCAAATCTATCCTCAGCGATCTATCTCTCCCTATAAAGTGTCTAGGCCTGCATGTTACATAGGGAGGGAACTCAGCAGATTTTAAAATTTGATTTGATTCATCTTGAGTTGCCTAAAGCCCTAAGAGCCTCAGCTTACATTTCTTTTTATTGCCTACAATGCTTAATTCAGGGCTTCTCACACTGTAGATACTCAGAACCTGTGACCCTGACCAGTAGTAGAGAGGGATTCTGGAGGCTACTTAGTGCAGTGGAAAGAACCCAGATTTTGGAACCAGAGAGTTCAAATTCTAGCCATTCCCCTTATTACTGGGAGGGCTTTAAGGAAATAAATTGCTGAAAGTCACTGAGCCCAGTTTTTTGTCTGTTTTGGTTTTAAGTGGTTATATGACAAGAATAATGGTCAGCACCACAGAGCAGCTGCTGGCAGTGGGACGAAGGGTTTGCAGAGTATAGCTCAGTACAAGGTAAGAGATGAATTAATATTACCATGCTAGTTGGTGGGCAT